TCTTTAAACAAAATAATGAACTAAACAACTTGCCTGTGCACAAGCGGTCCCAAAACTTGTTTGACAGTTTTTCTGTGTGTTGTAGACTGGCGAATAGAGGAGATAAGCAATTGAAATCTGATTTGGGATCCCTCACAGCACGGCACAACCGGATAGGCGAGAGACTGCAATGTACAGAAGTGGAGATTTCCGAAATGCACCCGATTGGTGAGCGTCTCGACAGCGTCATGGAGGCCGTTGATAAGTTAGAGGCATATACATGTAGTTGGTGAGACAATGTCATCATATATGGCATGTCAGAGATCAAATATGACACAGCTGAAGATTGGGCGTACGTTTTGGCCCCGACTCACTGAGAACCCGGACTGAGCTACATTGCCGGACATAAGGAATATATGGATGTTAACTTCTTTATTATGAGGAACACAACGTTTCGGAGTATATGCTTGTATTGACGGACAGTTCCTTCAGACACCCACAGATACACATCTGCATGTATACATGTTATAAAACGCCTGAGGGATATGTGAGCGAGTACGTAGCTCATGCGTTTTTGAAAGGGCCTCATAACATACATTGCCACTTATGTAAAATTACAAACTGCGAAAAAGGTTTTAAAACGAATGTATGCCATTTATCGGAACACCCACCTTCATGTTACTTTATTAGGTGTGACGAAAATCTTTTGACGTGCATATTGTTTGTTTTGGTTACGATGTGATATCCAAATTGAAACGTAACGATGCACTTTTTATGACCCTCTGTCATTTCAAATTAAGGCAAAAGTTCTCGGGATTTTTTTTAATTAAAGATTAATATTGGTTCATTAATGTTTGGACCCTGAAATCGCGAATTGTTTCCGTAAAATTTACATATTTTCCCTACTTAGCATAACTTTTATTGTTATTTGAAGCTAAAACTATGTAGGGTATGAACTAGAGTCGAACAATTAATGTTTCGAATATTTAGGTAAGCCAAACATTATAATGATGGCAATGTTGAGACTTTTAGAATATTAAGGTTCATAACTTCTGTCCAAATGGGAGGAAAGCACGAAGTGATGCAGGTCTCAGACGTTTACCACTTCGGTGGAAGCGGCGGAAGCGATGACGTCATTACTTCCGTTTTCTATTTTTAGACAGCTATAAAAGTAAACTATACCTATTGAATCGAAATTGATATGATGAAACGTCATTCAAACATTGGCGATAGAGGGAGCAAGACGTATGAAAAACATTTCTTCGTGTTAGACATTGTTAATGAACAACGCTTGTCTATATTCTGAACGCTGTGAATAGTGAGTAATTTCTTTTAAATATTATATAATTTTTATTATATAAAAATATCGACACAGGCCAAAATAGAAAATGAAAACTTACCTCTTAAGTTGGAATATGTTGTTTTTTCCCACAACGTAAAATATCCATGGAATACATACACGTTTTCACCGACAGTCTTAGTGTGTCCGATTTCACTGGTAGCGCACAGTCGTTTTTAGAATCACTAATGGGGCTAATATTTCACGTGATGGAAATTTCAAATTATATCGCATCAACGTGTATATTATCCCTATGGATTTGATCCTTTTTTTTCTTTTTTTAATATTTTTTCTCTAAAAATCAACCACTCCAGCATTTGAAAAGAAAAGAGTATATAGAACTAATTACCGATGACCGTTTCCACATAAAATGTTTTGAAGACATTAATTAAGTTGAAAAAAGCAAATTAGGCAGAAGTATTTAACTTTTATTTTTTACCCATTAGAAAACAATATTGATACATTTACTTTTGAAAATATATACTTACAGGTATGTAATACCTTACTGGAGGAGTTTTTTCAATTTCTCCCCGAGCTGAAAATAAGAGTTTACAGAACAAAGTATCGTCGCATTTGACTGTTTTATTTTACATGAAAAGTGACTGTATTATTTTACATAAGAAGTAACTGTTTTATAGTACACGAAATGGTTTAGTTACATGAAATAAGTAAATAGTTTCGTGAATGGTATATTGGTTTTCAAAGATATACGTACAGCTTTTGCCTCTTGGCACATCCCATCGGTGCGGACATGTTGACTCCTCAAAAGTTTAGCGTAGAATGAAGATATCCGCGTATTTTCGCTCTTTTTTTAGCCATTGTTAACTTCTTTTATCCGGACACCTGTTTTAAAACCAAAAGGAGGCGGTTTTAAGTGTAGCGTTACCGTTACTGGCCCGTTCAGAAAGGTAGCTAATTCGCCTTCGCTGTCCCTTGTATCCAGATCGATCGTCTGTAAATCTTGAACCCTCACGTCGATATATCGGTGGTGTAAAAAGTCGAAATATCTCTTATCTCCCGCGAGGCATACTGTTCTCAATAAGGGTTGCTGGCTTTCTCCCAGGTAAGACGAATCGCATAGCGACGAACAGACGTACACATCGCGACAGTTCGTTCCTTTCTCCTCTCACCAACTCTTAAAAACCATACGAGATAATATTTCACGTGATGGAAATTTCAAAATTAATTATATCGCATCAACGTGTATATTAGCCCTATGGATTTGATCCTTTTTTTATTTCATTTTTATTTTTTTTATTTTTCGTGATATGTTCACCAATTAGTTGAGTCGAACTCGTAAAATATACCAGCCTTTATCCTCTATTTTCTCACCAATCAACACGCTGGGGTAAATGTGTTGTACTACCTATTACAGCAGGTGACTTGTTTGATTAAACATTCCACATGGCAGATCATTCTTATACCGTTGTCAAGAATCTGTTCCGAAATGTCGCAATTACACTGTCAGTATAATAAATAATTCGTTATCCATAAAACATTTGTGTCTACTTTATTACAGTAGCTGCAGGACTAGCAGGAATAATCGGTTGTATCTGAAATAAATATTGATTCAATGTAGCGGCCATAAATTTCCGAGTCCCGTGACGGGATTCGAGCCACGGACCCTCTGATCCGAGGTCGGAAGCCTTGTCCACATGACCAAAGGGGTTAACCCCGTCAGCAAGCTGACAAGGTAAGGATGTCATCTGTGGGATGACTCCACGCCCTGCTATATCAACATTAATGAAATCCATACTTGAAAGCTGTGAAGCATTAAATACTGATTTGGCTGCAATAATCATGGACAATCGGCAATGAAAAGTTCATCTCCCTAATTATATCAATTGACTCCTAAATTAAATGAAAGAGAGCCAGTGGGGTAGACAAGCGTGGGGTTTAAGCGTTTGCTCGTCACGGTAAAGACCCGGGTTGGATTCCCACATGGGTAGAATGTGTGAAGCCCATTTCTGGTGTCCCCCGCCGTGATATTGATGGAATATTGCTAACAGCGGCGCAAACCGTACTCACTCACCCCTAATGAAAGTGTGGGCACGGGCGATTCGCTGTGCAGAGTTGCGTCCCTTGGGCACGCCAATAACCTATGATTGTGGGTTTGAATGCCGGTTCGCCCCGATTATGTTTCTAGGTTTGTCAGCACCATACCGTGCTTGTGAGTTTCACCGAAGTGGTAAACGTCTGAGACCTGCATCACTTCGGGCTTTCCTCCCACATTAAGCTGACACGCCGTGATATAACTGGAATACTGTTAAAAGCGGCGTTAAACCCACCTCACTCACTCACTCACTCACTCACCTAATGAAAGCAATGCTACATAGGTAGGACCTTCACCCCTCTCACTATCCTCCGTCAACCGGTAACACCTAATACATGTGTACACAGCTACCTGTACGCCTTCCGTGATATAATGTAAGTTGAAACCGGACGATCCTTGATGAGACCAGCGCATAAACAGTACCGGTCTTCAGTAGAACGTTATGAAGACGTGCATCGTGGCTATGCGATGCCAACCAGTAGACATCGGACAGCGCAAGCAGAGCTACGGTGGCCCATAAGGGACATGGAGTTTGTTTTTCCATATTTTGATATTTCACTTACATTTATCGTAACCTTTTGCAAATTAACACGATTTGTCTTACAAATATGTGATAAATCATGTGTAAAGAAGATATTGAATCGCTGAAAAACGAAACGAAAATGTCAAAAACACCAAACGAAAATGTCAAAAACTAAAATGAAAATACAGAAAACTATTTCCACCGCGGTGAAATAGTTTTCTGTGTATTCATTTTAGTTTTTGACATTTTCGTTTTGTGTTTTTGACATTTTCATTTTAGTTTTTGACCTTTTCGTTTTGGTTTTTGACATTTCCATTTTAGTTTTTGACTTTTTCACTTCACATTTCAGCGACTCAAAAGCTACTCAAAAGTACATTTTCTATGTTTTCGGATGTTTTGATTCATGATTTATCACATATTTGTATGGCAGATTGTGTTAATTTGCAAAAGGTTAAGATAAAAGTAAGTTAAACATCAAAATATTGAAAAACAGACTCCATGTCCCTTATGGGCCACCGTACAGAGCAGTACATCGCTCCGATATCACAGCTGCTTACAGCACTGCTGAATTCTAATATTTGTTACATATACAGGGGCGGTCGGGTAGCCTAGTGGTTAAAGTGTTCACTCGTCAGGCCGAAGATCCGGTTTCGATTCCCGACATGGGTACAATGTGTAATAGAGTCGCTGTAACCGTAGATTATATCGGACCCATAGCTACCGTTTATAATATTATCATGATTTCAAAAAGTATTATTGATGTAATATGTCTTCCGTTATGCCACTAATGGGATGCTATAAATATAAAGATTTACACAAAACTGGTAATGGTATATTGCATCAGGGGGGCGGTCGGGTAGCTTAGTGGTTGAAGCGTTTGCTCGTCACGCGGAAGACCCGGGTTCGATTCCCGTCATGGGTACAATGTGTGAAGCCAATTTCTTGTGTCCCCCGCCGTGATATTGATGGAATATTGCTAAAAGCGGCGTAAAACCATATTCACTCACTCACTGTTACATATACCGAGTGGCATGCCGCTTATCTGTATGCGTAGTACACAGCTGATACACGCAGATATGCTGATCCCGTGACCCTGCATACGAGGCCATCGTTATAGACTACGTTAAAGTAGGACGTATTCAAATATGGCACGATAACCAGAAAGGTCGTACTTCTCGCCGCAGTTATCACACAGGATCTTTCATAATGGCCGCATCCATGGAATACATCGTGAGAAGGGTTGATCTGTTCGAATTTTGTAAGCGGTGCATGCTCAAGGTCGGGGTTCCCATTGATCACGCAATCTCTCTAGCAGAGGTTGTTGCAGATGCAGACTGTAGAGGGCATTACAGTCACGGTTTAAACAGGCTACGTAAGTAAACCTCGCCATGGCGTTATATAGGGTAAGTACACACATGTACGCTACCATTCAAAACTAACTTCCCTACTCGTCGCGATAGGCGACAGCATTCGAACCGCGAGCAGCTTGAGCTCTATGATTGCTACATGTACCTGGTCGCAGTAAACTACGTTTATAACGAACTCAAAGGGACCACTTAATTAGTTCGTTTTAACCGTAGTTCGTTATAAGCATATTTACAACATATATACAGCAAATGGACGGGACCAAACACAGTTCGTTATATCCGTCAGTTCGTTATAAGCGTGTTCGTTATAAACGTTGTTTACTGTACATTGACATGGTTCGAATGATTGCTGTGTGAAGTATGTATCCTCCCAAAGATTTACCCACCATAAAAGATGACTTCGAGTTATTATTAAACATATTAAATCTGCTGGTCCAAGTCCAAATAGGGAATCGCCACGGACATACATTTTGTCACTGATCTGTCATATTTAGAAATGTTGTCCACGTGTCTGCCATAATGTGTTTTGAAAGCTTTACAACTTTTGAGCAAGAGAGTGAGTGAGTATGGTTTTACGCCGCTTTTAGCAATATTCCAGCAATATCACGGCGGGGGACACCAGAAATGGGCTTCACACATTGTACCCATGTCGGGAATCGACCCCGGGTCTTCGGCGTGACGAGCGAACACTTTAACCACTAGGCTACCCGACCGCCCCTTCGGTATATGTAACAGTGAGTGAGTGAATATGTTTTTCGACGCTTTTAGCAATAGTCCATCAATATCACGGCGGGGGACACCAGAAATGGGCTTCACACATTGTACCCATGTCGGGAATCGAACCCGGGTCTTCGGCGTGACGAGCGACGGCTTTAACCACTAGGTTTTAGCAAGAGACGTATGGCGCTCTTTGAAATCTTAGTAGAAAGATCATGCTCGATTATACCTCACACGTTGTGAAATGTATTGAGTTGCTGGGACATTTCTCTTGACTAGGTTTGATCCCCGGCCGCGTCAAACCAAAAGACGTTAAAAGATGGTACTTGTTGTTACCCTGTCTTGCGCTCCGCATTAAAGTGCTAAAACAAGGACTGGTCGGCGCGGAGTCAGTATACTGTGTCTGAGTGGGGTATTCATGTTAAACTGCGGCAGGGTATCTCAGTGAGCTAGCACTATAAATCGGCATCAGTCCTGACAAGCACAAGCAGCCACACAAACACGTACATGCACGTCGCTATATAAGTGCAATAATCTTGGACGCGACGTTAAACCCCATTTCACCTCACCTCACCATTCTCTTGACTATTGGGAAGTTGAAGTCAACCCTCTTGTCCGTCTTGTGGGAGTTCTTTTGGGTAAGTCTGATTCTTTATGCATAGATCTAATTATGAAACAGGCGAGGCGGTCTCACTGGTCTCCTGTGTTTCTAGGTGGGTAAATCGCTGGAAGGGGATTGGCTACTTCACACCTCAGTGTCTTACCCCCAAATGTTACACAGATGTTATCAATGAAAGTCTTTCATATGGAATGTGGGTCATTACGTTTGTGTGTTTTTTCAGGATTCTACATGAATAGTTATCAATTCCTCAACCAGAAGGAACATCAGGGGCCGATTGTTGTCAAAGAAACCGAAGCAACAGCGCTTGTTGATGGAAACAATATGCTAGGTACGTTCATTCACAACCTGCAAAATAACTCTTCGAGTAAACATATATATATTTACACGCTGATATGCTGATCTCGTGGCCCTGCATACGAAGCCATCGTTATAGACTACGTTGTAGGTTACTATATATATACAATGTGCCCTCTAGATACTTACTCATTTAGAGCGGAAGACATTATGAATGACGTGTTTCTAGGACGTGGCTTTGAATATTCCGAGCACGTCACCTAGCAGCTTATTGGGTGAGTGGATTTGTGACGACCTCCGTGGTTTATGGGATCATTTAAAGCATGCTTTGTACGTGAGGAACTTAAAAATGAAAACATCACAGATTTACTATAATTATGCTGTCACTAAATTGTGGACACAACTAGCTATATCACGACCCGTAATACAAAGCAAGTGACTCAAGCATCTCCACACGGGCAATATAGAAGGAAAGCAGGAACAAAACAGAAATTAAGCACATTAAAGAACCAGCATTGACAGCCAGGCAACCATCAAATCATTAACCTTTGCAATATAAAGAATGCATGGCGTCACATTTACTGGTATTTCTAAGCGACGGGTTCCTAGTATGGTGGCCTACCTTTAGTTGCTGGCGATGCCTAGCCTGTTTTTATAGTGAGTGAGTGAGTGAGTTGGGTTTAACGCCGCTTTTAACAGTATTCCAGTTATATCGCGGCGTGTCAGGTTAATTTGTGAGGAAAGCCCGAAGTGATGCAGGTCTCAGACGTTTACCACTTCGGTGAAACCCACGAGCACGGGTATGGTGCTGACAAACCTACAAACATAATCGGGGCGAACCGGGATTCGAACCCACAATCATAGGTTTCTGGCGTGTCCAAGGGACGCAACTCTGCACAGCGAATGGCGGCGCCTTAGACGACTGGGCCACCCGTGCCCCCCCCCCCCCCCCCCCCCCCCCCTGTTTTTATAATGTATTGTTATTTATCATGATATCTTTTTATGGTTCCGCACACGTTTTAAAATATACATCTGTGATAATCTAGTTGTTTTACTGTCCTTGCCGGCAGGTTTTATAATCAAATTGTATGTATTACTGTCTAACTTGATTTAGTCCCGACATGGCTGATATATTGCCGATGTGACTATATTCACTCACTCACTCACTCACTCTAAGCGACGGTCCAAACTGTTATCAACAAGAAGCATATAACGGTAACGCTATTTTTCAGGGCATTATCATTTGCAGAAGCCCGAAGTCTTCCATTAACTGCCCGACGAAGAATGCTTCTGCAAATTATAATGCCCTGAAAAATAGCGTTACCGTTATTATAGCTAAAATGGATGGAATTTGTTATCAAATAAAAAGAAACAACAATATCGGTTTTGAAACATTTACTACAATCGACACCAATGTCACTGAACCACTTTTACAAATATGGAAACGTCATAGAACAAACCAGATGACGTCACTATTGAACTTGACATCACCCTATCCGAAGACGTCACCTAACAACGGGCGTGATAATGGCCCGTCGTCAAGCAATATGAGGGCATTATCAAGTTATCATTTTTGATAACATGCGGGCGGTTTAATGATAATTCTACCCATTTTAGCTATAATACCACATAACCCCTATTATTCCATGTATAAATCGACCCGTGAAGATCGGGGTATAATAGGTCTTCAGCAACCCATGCTTGCCGTAAAAGGCGACTATGCTTGTTGTAAGAACGGGATCGGGTGGTCAGGCTCGCTGACTTGGTTGATGCACGTCATCGTATCCCAATAGCGTGGATCGATGCTCATGATATTAATCACTGGATTATCTGGTCCAGACTCGATTATTTACAGACCGCCGTCATATAGCTGGAATATTGTTTAGTGCGGCGTTAAACAACAAACCGAACTGACCATGTATAAATCACAAATATAATGATTATCCAAGGTTAACTCACCGCAGACTATATATGGTTATTGTGTCTATATTACGCACCAAAAGTAATTATCAAACACAATCTCTGCAACAACTGTGATGTAGGACTCCATGGATACCTCTTCTCCACACCCGCCACACATTCTCAAATTGACAGTTAAGCTCTACTTTCAATATCTTTAGCAATCCCATGAAGGGAATTGTCAATAAATCTGAACAGTTATACATCTTCAGTCTGAATCCGATTTAGACTTGACCAGGGTGACCATGTGTATGCCATCTGCGAGTTGGGTGTTTTTGGCAATAAGCAAAAATAGAGAGGTCATTGGAAAAGGGATGGTAAGTATGAATGGAGAAAAACACCAAAGATATAACATGTATGTGTTTGATCGAAATATTTACAACTTGTTTATTATATATTGGCATGAATGATTTGATTACATGGGCTTCAGTAGCTGTTTATTCAAATCAAATATATCTAAAAACTACACAACAATGAGTCTGGACACTCAATGATGGACATATAGTCCTGGCAGTGTTAAAGTCCTCGTCCATGCACTGTGAATTGCGAAGCACAAGAACATCGGATTAACATGATTTACCTTTCAATAAAAGATATGACATGTATGTGTTTGATCGAAATATTTACAGCTGATTTCCCTTTCGCTTTTTGTATTGTTTAAGTCGTTGTCATAGCTACTTGCTGCTGAAATAAATGTCAGTCATGTGGTAAATTGTCGAATGTGTTTCAGGGCCTGTGGTAGGTAGATTTTGTATGAATCTAGCCATGAGGAAAGCCAAGACCACTGGTGTCGGGATGGTGTCTGCATACCGTAAGTAATTTATGAGTATCATGAATGTTTCCCATCACTGAGGATGCGGTTGCTGGATTTGCCAACATTGTTATCCTTGTTTCATCAGGACCGTACCGTGTTGTGTTTTGTCATCCAAGTGTTTAATTGTCCACAAGCTTTGGGCGTACCAACAATATTGACTGAAATAATGTTCTAAGCGACGGTACATTCAGCCAAATCTCTCACATCCAATGAGCCGTCATATAGCTGGGATATTGCTGAGTGCGGCGTAAAACAACAAACAAACAAAACACATCCAATGATCTCCTGATCATTAATGTTGGAACATGTATCTGTGGGACTATCGGTTTCGTACAGTTCATGGAGAGGGCGAATCAGCAATACTTCTGTAAGTATTCAAAGGTCTTCAATTATGTTCTTAAAGGACGTGGTATAAAATCAGTCGATACTGATGGAGAAACATTTCTCTCGTGGAACAGGAGCGGTCAACATTGAAACATCTTGCATCGCAACGTGTTGAAAATCGGTATTTAATGGAATGCCGCAATGCTGCACAAACGTAGGACCACCCATAGGTTATTTTCAGGTCAGAGTGAGAGACTGAGTGAGTTGGGTTTAACGCCGCTTTTAACAGTACTCCAATCATATCACGGCGTGTCAGATTAATGTGGGAGGAAAGCCCGAAGTGATGCAGGTCTTAAACGTTTACCACTTCGGTGAAACCCACGAGCATGGGTATGGTGCTGACAAACATAATCGGGGCGAACCGGGATTCGAACCAACAATCATAGGTTTCTGTCGTGCCCAAGAGACGCAACTCTGCACAGCGAATCGCGGCGCCTTAGACGACTAGGCCACCCGTGCCCCCTTTCAGGTCAGAACTTTGGGGACTCTCAACATTAATCGCATACTATTTGATCGCTTTGGGCGACAAGTGACCCAAGTTTTTGTTTACGCCTATGTCAGCAATATTCAAGCTGTTTCATGGCCGCCTGTACATAATGGAAGATGGACGAAGACAACCAATGGTTGATGTCATGAGGCACGGTCCAAGGAACTCGTTACTATGACACCCTGTCAGCTCCATAACATATTGTAAGCGTCTTAAACCAGTTTTAGTCTTTGGTCAAGTCCTATTCTAACCCTCTCTGACCTGGTTGAGGCATGTCATCGATCACAATTGCGTAGATCGATGCTCATGATATCAATCACTGGATTGTCTGGCCAAGAATCGATTATTTACAGACTGCCGTCATATAGCTGGAATATTGCTGAGTGAGGCGTAAAACAACCAACCTACCAACCTGATTCTAACCACATGATGCGCATTGAGAAAAAGTCCCAAGACCTGGTTGTCAAACTGTAAATTGGTTGATTGCAAGTCACCGGGGCCAGATAGCGTGACCGTTACGTAGGCTTTCTGTCACTTGTTTATGTGGTCCATTCATGTTGTTTGCAGGCTATATAGGCTGTGATATGATGTCTGCAGCGCTAGATAGCTTTCACTCACCAATTGTTTGAGAATGAGTGAGTGAAATGTACCATATCAGCAGTTTTATTCCGGACACCGCACAATATTGACTGTATTGCCTACATGCCAGCCACGTATTCATTTACCATACGATGCGTGTCATCAATCCCAATTGGACCGCCTCCGTGGTCCAGTGGTAGAGCGTCCGCCCGGAGAGCGGAAGGTCCGGGGTTCGATCCCCGGCCGCGTCATACCAAAAGACGTTAAAAGATGGTACTTGTTGTTACCCTGTCTGGCGCTCGGCATTAAGGGGCTAAAACAAGGACTGGTCGGCTCGGAGTCAGTATACTGTGTCTGAGTGGGGTATTCATGTTAAACTGCGGCATGGTATCTCAGTGAGCTAGCACTATAAATCGGCATCAGTCCGGCCTAGTACAAGCAGCCACACACACAAGTGCAATAATCTTGGACGCGACGTTAAAACCAATTACACCTCACCTCATCAATCCCAATTACGTGGATCGATGATCATGATATCCATCATTGGATTGTCTGGTCCAGACTCGATTATTTACAGACCGCCGTCATATGGCTCGAATATTGCTGTGTGCGGCGTTAAACAACAACCAACCAACATGTATCATACGTACAGGACCCTGTGATGTCTCTTTTGGCACGTTATCGATATTATAAATATTCATTATGAATCATGTATTCTACAGTTATTTCATTATTTCTACAGGATCAAACCATTTTGGGATTGCCGCTCACTACAGTATGATGGCGATGAATGAAGGGCTTATAGTAAGTCAGACTTAGTATATGTTTAGTAAATATGATGTCAAGTTGTCCTGGCGGTTAAAAACCGTGACAAATTGGTCAAAGTTTATGGAAACGGAGCAACGAAATGTTGCAAGTGACTTTGAGGTGTCCAACATATTGCTGTTCCGTGTCGCCATTGTGATTTTAAGACGTTATTCTGCAACCCGCTTGGCAGTGAGAATTTATCTAAATAATAGGTGAGGTGAGGTGAAATTGTGTTTAACGTCGCGTCCAAGATTATTGCACTTATATAGCGACGTGCATGCACATGTGTGTGTTTGTGTGGCTGCTTGTACTAGTCCGGATGCCGATTTATAGTGCTAGCCCACTGAGATACCATGCCGCGGTTTAACATGAATACCTTACTCAGGTACAGTATACTTAATGCCGAGCGCCAGACAGGGTAACAACAAGTACCATCTTTTAACGTCTTTTGGCATGAAGCGGCCGGGGCGGACGCTCTACCACTAGACCACGGAGGCGGTCTCTAAATAATAGCGGTGAAACCTTTCGACAATCTGAATAGTCCATTGTACGAATCCGGCTTTATCATAACGCACGTGTTTGTGAATCGCTATTTGATATCAGGTGTTCGCGAAAGGTGAGCTTACCTTGCCTAAGAGGTGGCACCCGTCACAAACACTTGCAAAGGCAAGGCAATTGTTCAATTAAGTTCAGTTAGTCCAGAATCGATGACTAAACTTAACTGCACTTCAGTCTATCCTCCAATTCGCCACTACCTGGACAGGAAAGGCTCGTTAAAGAATTGACGTCTTAGGGACATACATCTTCTCGAGGCAAGAGAGTTAACTGACTTTAAAAGTCCAGTTTCAACCCTTGCCGAACTTGGCTGGAATTCCTGGGCTCGATCGTAGCGCCACCAGTGGCTATTACGAGTTATGTCCTTTCTATGCCTCTCCTATTGACCAATCAGATTCAACCTCTCGTATCCCTTGCATTTGCTTCAAACAAAACGGTGGCGCCCAGTCAAGACGATCTGATCGATAATCAAGATCTATAATGTGATAAAACGAGTCTTACATCGCGAAGTGCATCAAATAACGTGAGCACCTTGATTAAAAACATGAAAAGATTAAGAAAATATCTGTTGACAACAAGTTAGCGGTGCACATGCTTTGCAAATCCTGCAGTCGACCGAAATCTGCATGACACTTTACGAACCGGATTTCGATTTCGGTGCGCGATTTTGATTTGACTATGCAGACTCGTTAGTCCAGCCAAAATGTAACTCCATAATACCAGCCTAGTTCGGCAAGGGTGGAAACTGGACTTTTATAGTCAGTTAACTCACTTGCCTCGGGAAGATGGGGGACATATAGCTTCGACTCGATCTCAAGACCGCAAACTACTCGCTTATCCATGAAAGTTGTTTTAAGGTGTTCGAGCCTGCCATGCCAACTTCATACCCAGAAGTTCCATTTTGATTGTTTAAGAAAACATATCAGACCATGATCACATGACATAGTAATGATTGTTATTTTTGTCGTGATCGGAGGATTTAAGGCGGGTCAGTGACATCGATCAGGTCCGTATAATTATTTCTTAACTTGGCGACTTTAAGTCTCTAATTTCGGTAACACTTATAAAATATCGAGAATGTAGGTGCCATTTTTTCTAAGGATTTTAAAATGCATTTTTACCTCATAACGGTACATTAGAAGTGTTTGTTTGTTTGTTTGTTTATTAGTTTGTTTGTTGTTAAACGCCGCAATGTACCAGCTATATGACAACGGTCTGTAAATAATCGAGTCTGGACCAGACAATCTAGCGATTGACATCATGAGCATCGATCTACGCAATTGGGATATGATGACATGTATCAACCAAGTCAGCGAGCCCGACCACCCGATCCCGTTAGTCGATCCCGTTAGACAATCGTAGTCGCCTTTTTACGGCAAGAATGGGTTGCTGAAGACCTATTCTCTACCCGGATCTTCACGGGTCCTTGATTACTCTATGAATCGCGTAGGCAGGTTCTTTTATTCGGCTGCCATGTTGATCATGCTCAGCGTCAATGCGTCGTTGCCTGCTGGAAACTATATGTAGCAGGGCGTGGAGTCATCCCACAGATGACATCCTTACCTTGTCAGCTTGCTGACGGGGTTAACCTCTTTGGTCATGCGTCCGACCTCTGATCAGAAGGTCCGTGGTTCGAATCCCATCACGAGACTCGGAAATTTTATGGCCGCTACATTGGCGCCCAACGTGGGGCTGAGCACGTTCATATTAAATTTGAGCAAAATAAGCCTCAGTACCCTACTATGCGGCCCGGGACGTGCCTTCTGTTGACGGGGGAGTATGTAGCAGGGCGTGGAGTCATCCCACAGATGACATCCTTACCTTGTCAGCTTGCTGACGGGGTTAACCTCTTTGGTCATGTGGACAAGGCGTCCGACCTCTGATCAGAAGGTCCGTGGTTCGAATCCCATCACGGGACTCGGAAATTTTATGGCCGCTACATTGGCGCCCAACGTGGGGCTGAGCACGTTCATATTAAATTTGAGCAAAATAAGCCTCAGTACCCTACTATGCGGCCCGGGACGTGCCTTCTGTTTACGGGGGAGTATGTAGCAGGGCGTGTAGTCATCCCACAGATGACATCCTTACCTTGTCAGCTTGCTGACGGGGTTAACCTCTTTGGTCATGTGGACAAGGCGTCCGACCTCTGATCAGAAGGTCCGTGGTTCGAATCCCATCACGGGACTCGGAAATTTTATGGCCGCTACATATACATGACACGTTTCACTCGCTGGGTGAGTGGAGTGTTACAAGCTGAATGGACTTGTGTGTCACGAGACATAAGGTTGAATGGTGTACACGAAGTCACACATGTAACGAACTATTAGGAATTCACAAGTACAGAGACTTTGGCGATAATTGTTTGTGTGACAATATATCTGCTGTACGGCATCCAGTGGGTTCAGTCTGGTAAAAGGTGAACAGGGCAATAATGACGTGACAAGTAGATGGCGTCATATGAAACACAATGACGTCATGATGTACATTTTGGCCGGCCAACCGACTTGATAGAGTATCTCATCCTCGAGGCCTTTTATGTAAAAATATTAACACTGTCGATAAAAAATTATCCCACACTTATTTATATATTTGATATCAAAAGTCTCGAGGGTGAAATTTTATTAATCATCCAGGACAAGTGTCCTGAGTGTAGAATGTAGACCAGGTTCAGAGGCAGAGATTATTTGATTGTGATGTCATAGTAACCGATGACGTCACAATTGTCTGCAAAGCGTTGTGACACAGCTTCTGTGATCGTTGTTAGGAATCCCAGCTGATCTAATTATGTTTTTATATGTTTGTCAGCATCATCCCTGTGCTTGTGGTTTTCAAATTCACCTTTTTCAAATAGTAAATGTGTAAGACCTCCATCACTGCTACAGGAAGCTGACACGTCGTGATATAATAACTTAAATAATTTTCAAAGCGACGTCAAAGCCAAACCCACTCACTGTATTCATTAATGGCGAGGTTGGTAAATACTGTGTCATCCGTATACGCGACGGCCCCTATTCACAAGCGATCTCACAACCCTATACGAAGCTAGGTTCTGGCTGCCGTCGTTCTGTGGTCGCTGTGTGAATAAGGGCCTGGTTAGTTATTTGAGACGATTTCGTGAACGAGGACAGTGCCCGGTACCCGTACGGAGGGCATTAAACCAAGAAACCAAGTGATGTTTACCTATGGTCGGCTGTAAGTAGTTCAAGTTGAATGACATTTAATCCATTCGGAAAACGATTCGCCGATCACGTTAAACCACCATCGTGACAGAAGACGCCCTCGAGTCTTCCCCGGTGATATTCCTGTACTGAATTAAATCACTAGACGATATTAGTTACTGTCAGCGTTACCCACAATGCGATCACGTATGTCAGTTTAAGTGTTATAAAAGTCACACCTAAACTGCAGCCCAAAAGAAAGTATTCACTTGAAAACTATATAACTTACAAACGTTTTTAAACGAGGCCGAAAACAGTCGCCGAAACACTGCAAACTTAAAGTTCAAAACACATCTGTGATGCCCGTATCAAATACATCAACATCGATTAACCAGTTCCTGTTTAATTTCTCAAAAACGGATGAAGACATTTTTGCCCGGGAGTTTATATGCTAATGTGCTAAAAAGGTCTCACGACGTTGATCCGACAGGCAATCAACCAAGTCACTGAGCCTGACCACCTGATCCAACTGGTTTCCTCTGACAAGCAATGGGATACTTGTAATGGAACAATTGTTATTATATTCAGTGATAATTACTGAAAATAATTTCACCTATACCTATGCGATTATTGGGAATTGCTTGTTTTAATATTCTCAAATGAAACTATACTGCTGTAAAACTGCGTCTGTTTACAGGGGATTGCATTGTGCAACGCGACACCTACAGTTGTCCCGACCAGAGCGAAACAGGTAAGATTCGTTATCATTCTTTGATGCTTGTACGATTGAGACAAGAGTTCAGAACAAATGGTGAATGTGAGTACTGAAGTTAGTCTGAACATTCTAAACGTTTCAGCAGTTAAACATTGTTCTTATTTATACGTGTACAATCTACAGCTCCCCCCCCCCCCCCCCCCCCCTTAATCCTTGTTGTTCGGTCCTTAGAGTGAGCGAGTGAGTTGGGTTTAACGCCGCTTTTAACAGTATTCCAGTTATGTCACGGCGTGTCAGCTTAATGTGGGAGGAAAGCCCGAAGTGTTGCAGGTCTCAGACGTTTAACACTTCGGTGAAACCCACGAGCACGGGTAGGGTGCTGACAAACCTAGAAACATAAACGGGACGAATCGGGATTCGAACCCACAATCATAGGTTTCTGTCGTGCCCAAGGGACGCAACTCTGCACATCGAATTGCTGCGACTTCGACGACTGGGCCATATTTTTCGTATATATATATAAATATATATAAAATAATAGTTCTTATGTAATCATATGCACCATTTCAGTTATAACACTGCACTACCAAAACGTCTTTGAAGACTCCCCAAACAACGTGATTAATTTAATGATAAAATCATACTTTGGTATAGTCCTAGAAATCAGAATGTGTTAAAGTGTGTCTTTCTTTAATCACCACTTTACCTTTTGAGAAAATTCTCGCAATAAATTGCTCACGAGATCATCACAAGTATAGCACGAACAGGAGTGAAGGAGTTACCTCCCTTCTCCCACAACCGAACACGAATGCAATCAGGGCTGGTCCCTGAACCTGGAGATGTTTCAAGATTGTCCCTTTTCCACCAACATGTTTTCACATAAGTATAGATTTAACACTGCCCCTACAGTACCGGCGTACAAAACTACACTGTCGGTTCCCGGCTTGACGCCCTGTGTTCCCGGTGTTTTCCAGAGTGTATTCGGCACCAACCCCATCAGCGTGGCCGCCCCAGCCAACAACGCTGACAGTTTCGTGCTGGATATGGCGACGTCAACTGTAGCCGTCGGAAAGGTACAAACTTGATGTTACCCTCTATTATTAATGTATGCGACATTTTGGCGTCCTGCACACACATCACTTGTATAAACATGACTTATCAATACATTTCTGCGAACATCCCGATTAGAGCTTATCATCCAATGGTCACTTGATAAGTGTGTGATAGGGGCTGTTGCATTTGTTACATATACTTCCATGACTACGACAGCTACGACCTGGTCACTGTCAGCATTAACGGCATGGTCACTGCTACTTATACAACTATTGTTGCTACTTTACTTGTCAGCGCTACAGCTGCTGCTTCTATTACTACTGCTGCTTCTATTACTACTGCTGCTTCTATAACTACTGCTGCTTTTAACCTTCTGCTGCTTCTATTACTACTGCTGCTTCTATTACTACTGTTGCTTCTATAACTACTGCTGCTTCTATTACTACTGCTGCTTCTATTACTGCTGCTGCTACATCTATTACTATTACTACTTCTATTACTGCTGCTACTTCTATTACTACTACTGCTTCTATTACTACTGCTACTTCTATTACTACTGCTGCTTCTATTACTGCTGCTGCTACATCTATTACTATTACTTCTTCTATTACTGCTGCTACTTCTATTACTACTGCTGCTTCTATTACTACTGCTGCTTCTATTACTACTGCTGTTTCTATTACTACTGCTGCTTCTATTACTACTGCTGCTACATCTATTACTATTACTACTTCTATTACTGCTGCTGCTTCTATTACTACTGCTGCTTCTATTACTGCTGCTGCTACATCTATTACTATTACTACTTCTATTACTGCTGCTACTTCTATTACTACTGCTGCTTCTATTACTACTGCTGCTACATCTATTACTATTACTACTTCTATTACTGCTGCTGCTTCTATTACTACTGCTGCTTCTATTACTGCTGCTGCTACATCTATTACTATTACTACTTCTATTACTACTGCTGCTTCTATTACTACTGCTACTACTATTACTACTTCTATTACTACTGCTGCTTCTATTACTACTGCTACTTCTATTACTACTGCTGCTTCTATTACTACTACTACTTCTATTACTGCTGCTGCTTCTATTACTACTGCTGCTTCTATTACTACTGCTGCTTCTATTACTACTGCTGCTTCTATTACTACTACTACTTCTATTACTGCTGCTGCTTCTATTACTACTGCTGCTTCTATTACTACTACTACTTCTATTACTGCTGCTGCTTCTATTACTACTACTACTTCTTTTACTACTGCTGCTTCTATTACTGCTGCTACTTCTATTACTACTACTGCTTCTATTACTGCTGCTGCTACATCTATTACTATTACTACTTCTATTACTACTGCTACTTCTATTACTACTGCTGCTTCTATTGCTACTGCTGCTTCTGTTACTACTGCTGCGTCTATTACTACTGCTGCTTCTATTACTACTGCTACTTATATTACTACTGCTACTTCTATTACTACTGCTGCTTCTATTACTATTGCTACTTCTATTACTACTGCTGCTTCTATTACTGCTGCTTTTAACCTTCTGCTACTTCTATTACTACTGCTGCTTCTATTGCTACTGCTGCTTCTGTTACTACTGCTGCTTCTATTACTACTGCTACTTCTATTACTACTGCTGCTTCTATTACTGCTGCTGCTTCTATTACTACTGCTGCTTCTGTTACTTGCCACTTCTATTACTACTGCTGCTTCTATTACTGCTGCTACTTCTATTACTACTGCTGCTTCTATTACTACTGCTGCTTCTATTACTACTGCTGCTACATCTATTACTATTACTACTTCTATTACTACTGCTACTTCTATTACTACTGCTGCTTCTATTACTACTGCTGCTTCTGTTACTACTGCTGCTTCTATTACTACTGCTGCTTCTATTACTACTGCTGCTTCTATTACTACTGCTGCTTCTATTACTGCTGCTGCTACATCTATTACTATTACTACTTCTATTACTATTACTACTTCTATTACTACTGCTGCTTCTATTGCTGCTGCTGCTTCTGTTACTTCTGCTGCGTCTATTACTACTGCTGCTTCTATTACTACTGCTACTTATATTACTACTGCTACTTCTATTACTACTGCTGCTTCTATTACTACTGCTACTTCTATTACTACTGCTGCTTCTATTGCTACTGCTGCTTCTGTTACTACTGCTGCTTCTGTTACTACTGCGGCGTCTATTACTACTGCTGCTTCTATTACTACTGCTGCTTCTATTACTACTGCTACTTCTGTTACTACTGCTGCTTCTATTACTACTGCTACTTCTATTACTACTTCTGCTTCTATAACTACTGCTGCTTCTATTACTACTGCTACTTCTATTACTACTTCTGCTTCTATAACTACTGCTACTTCTATTACTACTGCTACGTCTATTACTACTGCTACTTCTATTACTACTGCTGCTTCTATTACTACTGCTGCTTCTATTAATACTGCTGCTTCTATTACTACTGCTGCTGCTCTATTACCAATGCTGCTTCTATTACTACCATTAATTCTATTACTACTGCTGCTTCTATTACTACTGCTGCTTCTATTACTACTGCTACTTCTATTACTACTTCTGCTTCTTTAACTACTGCTGCTTCTATTACTATTGCTGCTACTGTTACTATATGGCTACTTCTAACACCCAATACTATTACTACTAATAACACTACTACTACTACCACCACTAATACTGCTACTATTACTTATTACTACGAACTACACTACTGCTACTACTACTACTACTACTACTACTACTACTACTTCTACCACTACTACCACTACCACCACTACTGCCACTATCACTGCTACTATTACTACTATTACTACTACCACTTCTACCACTAAAACTATTACTACCACTACCACTTCCACTACTACAACTACTACTACCACTACCAATACTACCTCCACCATTACTACTGCAACTATTACTTATTACTACCAATACCACTACCACTACTACTGTTACTACCAACACCACTACCACTAAAACTACTACCAAGACCACTACTACCACTACCACAACTTCTACTACTGCTGCCTCTACTACCAGTACCACTACCACTACTACTACCACTACTACAACCGCTACTACTACTACCAAAACCAACACTACTACTACTACTACGATACTACAGCTGCTGTTACTGCAACTACTGCTACTACTTCAATCACGACTACTGCTCAACCAACTCCACTCCACATGTATTAAAACTACTACTACAACTACCACGCCTCTTCCTAATACCACTACCTCTACTTCTCCCACTGCTACTACGTCTACGCATTCAAGAATTACTTTCTCACATCATCATTATTATTGTTATTATTATTATTGTTATTGATACACGCTTATTGTTCCTCCCAGGTTGAATTAAACATACACGCTTATTATTCCTCCCAGGTTGAATTAAAACATCGTCTCGGAGAGCGAATACCGGAGGGCTGGGCTGTTGATGACGACGGGAAAGTAAGATACATATAGACGATAGAATATTCTTCCAATGGTGAATAGACATGCGTGTATGTAATTCGCTAATAGGCCAGGTTTACGGTCAATTACCATGAAGCATTTAAACATCTAGCTATCTGATTAGCTTAGTATTGTGCCGTTTGTTTGTTTGTTGTTCAAAGCTGCCCGCAGCAATATTCCAGTTATGTGACGGCGGTCTGTAAATAATAGTCTGGACCAGACAATCTGGTGACTAACATCATGAGCATCGATCTAAGCAGATGCGATACGATGACAAGCATCAACCAAGTCAGCGAGCCTGACCACCCGATCCCGTTAGTCGCCTCTTACGACACGCATGGGTTGCTGAAGACCTATTCTCTACCCGGATCTTTACTGGTCAAGTATTGTTCCACGATTATACGGATTGTAAGACCATGATTTTAGTTTGTCTGTTGTTTATCCCCACAGTCGCCGATGATAAACATTTATCCATACAGTAGTCTCAATCTGGACAATAAATCTTAAGAACAAGTTTGAATTTGATAGGTTAGGGATCTAGGGATAAATGTGAATATTTAAGCGATTTGAAATTATAGCTTTCGGGAAAAAGAATATTTGAATAATTCAAAATTTGCTAAAGTGAGACGCGGGACGGCACTCTCTCTGTGTATAGCGATGCAGTCAGTAACATTCCAGCTATGTCACGTCCGCCTGTAAATTGTCGGGTCGGTGCCAGACAAACCAGTGCTTAATGTTATGATTTACATCTAACGTCATCGCACAATCGACAAATGATGATCTGGTGGTCACAGTGTGTTACCTGGCTGTGTGTACGCAGACGACGTGAATCGTCTTTCCAGTTGTCATCCGTGGATCTTCCTTGTCCAGTCTCGATTATTTACGCCGTTATGAATACGAACGCTCGAAAATGTCTGACTGTGGCGTAAAATGGCATTCGCTCGTTCTCTGAGTAACGTATTGATTCCCAATTTGAAACAATATGTTAACCCAGAAATCTGTATTTCAACTTGGCGTGAAAACAACAAACAACCAACAAATAGTATACATTACTGCACTGCAAATAAAATGGCAGTACACAGTAGAGTGGTACAAAATATGATGGCAGTGGTTACAGCAAAAAGTTCAATGATAATATTATTCACTTATCCGCAACAGTTGTCAAGCTTAAGAGAGCCTAGGCTTGGAATCCGGGGTGATAAGTGATCTTCACTCAAAAGCTGGTCTTGATGTAATGTCAGATGAAATGTCAGACATAATAACTGCCTCACCACTGCTTACATTAAATCGTACTACATTGCTGCGACAATTTATTGTCCAATGCAATGAACTTCTAGATACTGAATCTCAACGTTAACAATGTAATACAATGTAATATCATTGTTTAACAATAATTACACTGCCATATAACAACGGTAAAGTCGTATTGATGGTTTAAGGCCTCGCTGATTTACAATCTCATTGTTGATCGTTTTAAAGTGTTTCATTATATGAGTATGAGTGAATGAACCCGGGTCTTCGGCGTAACGAGCGAACGCTTAAACCACTAGGCTACCCCACTAGCCTCATGGAACACTGTGGAACAAATTGATGCATTGTTGTTTAACGTTTCAGGCAACAACGGATACGGATTCGGTTCTAAAGACTAGAAAGTTGACCCCTTTAGGAGGAATGGAACAGACAAGTAAGTTTAGCATTTACAGACAGTAAACTACCCGACTGTGTTGCCAGATGAATATATTTCTTTAAAGTTTTTCTTTACTTATAAGAAGCAGTAGAGCTCTATTGTACACAGCAGAGGTAATTCATAATTAATATATCGTTTATATTGGTTTCAACAACATCAATAATCGTGTCACTTGATTTTCTGGTTCATCGATCACTTGATTGAAGGTATGATTACTGGCCGCTGTTCCATGGCAAGAGTACTGCTGTGCGGCGCGGTGAAATAATTACCTGCTCTTTATGTAAATTGTGTGAATGAGGGGTGCAACCGGTAGGGAAGGCCATGCTTACACTTTTCGCGAACACCTGGTGTCATCACTGATGTTTTATGGGCCATTCATATCATTGTTACAGCTCTCTTGCCCTTTACGCCAAATGTAATCTGTTTCGGTGGATATCCTAAACTGGTTATTCTTTTGCATTTACGTTTTATAGGTGAAATTGGGTTTAACGTTACTGCACTTTTATAGCGACGTGAATTCACGTGTGTGTGTGTGTGTGTGTGGCTGCTTGTACTAGTCCGGGCTGATGCCGATTTATAGTGCTAGCCCACTGAGATACCATGCCGCAGTTTAACATGATCATGAATACCCCACTCAGACACAGTATACTGACTCCCAGCAGACCAGTCCTTGATTTAGCCCCTTAATGCCGAGCGCCAGACAGGGTAACAACAGTTATCATCTTTTAACGTCTTTTGGTATGACGCGGCCGGGGATGGAACCCCGGACCTTCCGCTCTCCGGGCGGACGCTCTACCACTAGACCACGGAGGCGGTGACGTTTTATGTATACTTGCGATACTTGCTCAAAGTGATGTCATTGTGATTCTACGAACGTATCCCCTGCACACCATGTTTTTAGCGCAGCAATCGCCTACAGGGTGGCCGAGTGTCAACTGTTCTGACTTGGTTGACCGTGTCATTGTGAGTGAAATTGTGTGTTACCTTTAGAGCAGGATATGACTGCCTTTTATCTTTTATGAATGCGTAGTGTCATCACTGGTCTATTCCTATCATTTTCATCGCTATTTTGCCCATATGCCCTGTGTTATGTTGGTGTTCGATCACAGATCACTATGATGCTAATATTGAAGATCAATTAATACTATAAAGATGCTTACATTTATATAACGCAGGTGGTTACAAAAGCAACGGTTTGGCTATGATACTCAAGCTGAAGATCAATTATATAAAGATGCTTTTATTCATATAACGCATGTGGTTACAAAGGCTACGGTTTGGCTTCGATAATAAAACGGAAGATCAATTATATAAAAATGCTTTTATTCATATAACGCATGTGGTTACAAAACCGTAGGTTTGGTTACGATAATAAATCGGAAGATCAATTATATAAAGATCCTTTTTTTCATATAACGCATGTGGTTACAAAGGCAACGGTTTGGTTACGATAATAAATCGGAAGATTAATTATATAAAGATGCTTTTATTCATATAACGCATGTGGTTACAATGGCAACGCTTGGTTACGATAATAAAACGGAAGATCAATTATATAAAGATGCTTTTATTCATTTAATGCAGGTGGTTACAAAGGCAACGGTTTGGTTACGATAATAAAACGGAAGATCAATTATATAAAGATGCTTTTATTCATATAACGCATGTGGACCGTTACATTGGCAACGATTTGGCGATAATACTGACAATGAAGATCATTACATGTATACAAAGATGATTTCATTCACTTAACGCAGATAGTTACAAAGGCTATGGTTTGACTACGATACTACATTGAAGATCAATTTTATAATTTGCTTTCATTCACAGGTAGTTACAAATGCTATGGTTTGGCTACGATACTAACATTGAAGATCAACTATATAATATGCTTTCATTCACAGGTGGTTACAAAGGCTATGTTTTGGCTACGATACTGACATTGAAGATCAACTATATAATATGCTTTCATTCACAGGTGGTTACAAGGCTATGTTTTGTCTACGTTACTAACATTGAAGATCAACTATATAATATGCTTTCATTCACAGGTGGTTACAAAGGCTATGTTTTGTCTACGTTACTAACATTGAAGATCAACTATATAATATGCTTTCATTCACAGGCGTTTACAAGGCTATGTTTTGTCTACGTTACTAACATTGAAGATCAACTATATAATATGCTTTCATTCACAGGTGGTTACAAGGCTATGTTTTGTCTACGTTACTAACATTGAAGATCAACTATATAATATGCTTTCATTCACAGGTGGTTACAAAGGCTATGTTTTGTCTACGTTACTAACATTGAAGATCAACTATATAATATGCTTTCATTCACAGGTGGTTACAAGGCTATGTTTTGTCTACGTTACTAACATTGAAGATCAACTATATAATATGCTTTCATTCACAGGTGGTTACAAGGCTATGTTTTGTCTACGTTACTAACATTGAAGATCAACTATATAATATGCTTTCATTCACAGGTGGTTACAAGGCTATGGTTTGGCTACGATACTGACATTGAAGATCAACTATATAATATGCTTTCATTCACAGGTGGTTACAAGGCTATGTTTTGTCTACGTTACTAACATTGAAGATCAACTATATAATATGCTTTCATTCACAGGTGGCTACAAAGGCTATGTTTTGTCTACGTTACTAACATTGAAGATCAATTATATAATATGCTTTCATTCACAGGTGGCTACAAAGGCTTTGTTTTGTCTACGTTACTAACATTGAAGATCAACTAAATAATATGCTTTCATTCACAGGTGTTTACAAAGGCTATGTTTTGTCTACGTTACTAACATTGAAGATCAACTATATAATATGCTTTCATTCACAGGTGGTTACAAAGGCTATGGTTTGGCTACGATACTGACATTGAAGATCAACTATATAATATGCTTTCATTCGCAGGTGGTTACAAAGGCTATGGTTTGGCTACGTTACTAACATTGAAGATCAACTATATAATATGCTTTCATTCACAGGTGGTTACAAAGGCTATGGTTTGGCTACGTTACTAACATTGAAGATCAACTATATAATATGCTTTCATTCACAGGTGGTTACAAAGGCTATGTTTTGTCTACGTTACTAACATTGAAGATCAACTATATAATATGCTTTCATTCACAGGTGGTTACAAAGGCTATGTTTTGTCTACGTTACTGACATTGAAGATCAACTATATAATATGCTTTCATTCACAGGTGTTTACAAAGGCTATGTTTTGTCTACGTTACTGACATTGAAGATCAACTATATAATATGCTTTCATTCACAGGTGGCTACAAAGGCTATGGTTTGGCTACGTTACTAACATTGAAGATCAACTATATAATATGCTTTCATTCACAGGTGTTTACAAAGGCTATGTTTTGTCTACGTTACTGACATTGAAGATCAACTATATAATATGCTTTCATTCACAGGTGGCTACAAAGGCTATGGTTTGTCTACGTTACTAACATTGAAGATCAACTATATAATATGCTTTCATTCACAAGTGGTTACAAAGGCTATGGTTTGTCTACGTTACTAACATTGAAGATCAACTATATAATATGCTTTCATTCACAGGTGGTTACAAAGGCTATGGTTTGGCTACGTTACTAACATTGAAGATCAACTATATAATATGCTTTCATTCACAGGTGGTTACAAGGCTATGTTTTGTCTACGTTACTAACATTGAAGATCAACTATATAATATGCTTTCATTCACAGGTGGTTACAAGGCTATGTTTTGTCTACGTTACTAACATTGAAGATCAATTATATAATATGCTTTCATTCACAAGTGGTTACAAAGGCTATGTTTTGTCTACGTTACTAACATTGAAGATCAACTATATAATATGCTTTCATTCACAGGTGGTTACAAAGGCTATGTTTTGTCTACGTTACTAACATTGAAGATCAACTATATAATATGCTTTCATTCACAGGTGGTTACAAAGGCTATGTTTTGTCTACGTTACTAACATTGAAGATCAACTATATAATATGCTTTCATTCACAGGTGGTTACAAGGCTATGTTTTGTCTACGTTACTAACATTGAAGATCAATTATATAATATGCTTTCATTCACAAGTGGTTACAAAGGCTATGTTTTGTCTACGTTACTAACATTGAAGATCAACTATATAATATGCTTTCATTCACAGGTGGTTACAAAGGCTATGGTTTGGCTACGTTACTAACATTGAAGATCAACTATATAATATGCTTTCATTCACAGGTGGTTACAAAGGCTATGTTTTGTCTACGTTACTAACATTGAAGATCAACTATATAATATGCTTTCATTCACAGGTGGTTACAAAGGCTATGTTTTGTCTACGTTACTAACATTGAAGATCAACTATATAATATGCTTTCATTCACAAGTGGTTACAAAGGCTATGTTTTGTCTACGTTACTAACATTGAAGATCAACTATATAATATGCTTTCATTCACAGGTGGTTACAAAGGCTATGTTTTGTCTACGTTACTAACATTGAAGATCAACTATATAATATGCTTTCATTCACAGGTGGTTACAAAGGCTATGGTTTGGCTATGATGGTAGAAATGTTCAGTAGCGTTCTGAGTGGATCGAACACGAGTCCTGATGTAAGACACCCAAATTCGCAGCAAGAGTCGAACCTGGTAAGCCGTCAGGAGTTACCCCCCATTTCTTACCCCACACAGGCTTGTCACGACGAACACAACAGGGCATTCTTCAGCTGTACGACAGTATTTCGCTGTCATCCTAATGTGACATTCGGTAAATGTGTAAAACAGGACGGTGGCACAGGTCATATTATAAGTCAAGAACAAACAGAATATATTTGTATTGGATTAACTGCATGCTCTCGTGTAACTTGTTTGTTTGTTTGTTGTTAAACGCCGGATACAGCAATGTTCCAGCTATATGACGGCGGCCTGTAAATATTCGAGTCTGGACCAGACAAACTACTGACAAGGTCATGTTGGCAACTTTGACATGCTATCGACCTTGACACGAAGCCTGAAAACCGGATCCATTAAATCTCCTTTTTCCCGGGGCGGTCGGGTAGCCTAGTGGTTAAAGCCTTCGCTCGTCACGCCGAAGACCCGGGTTCGAATCCCGGCATGGGTACAATGTGAGAAGCCCATTTCTGGTGTCCCCCGCCGTGATATTGCTGGAATATTGCTAAAAGCGGCGTAAAACCAAACTCACTCACTCACTCCTTTTCCCCAAGCGCATGGTTGATTGGGGGCCAATTCTTACTCGGAATCCCCAAACCAACACATTATTCGTTGATGAAGACAACGACAATGTCATTCAACTGAATTTGTTCATCGGCACTAGGGGAATGGTAGACTAACATTTAGTCTCTGAAATCTTATATTACACAATATCCTTCTTGACTCTAAAAATAAAAAAAAGTCCCTATGCTGATTTCAGAGCTAGCTTGAGCTGGCTAGACTTGCTTTCGTATGCATTTCTAGATTATTTTTTTTCATAAAATAAATATATTCCACGGTCATGGTGCAGGACTAGGGGAATGGGAGCCGCTGTGTTGAGGCCGCCATGATATTACTGGACAGTGACGTCAAACATCAAAGAAAAAGGGGCTGTCGGGTAGCCTAGTAGTTAAAGCGTTCGCTCGTCACGCCGAAGACCCGGGTTCGATTTCCGACATGGGTACAATGTGTGAAGCCCATTTCTTATGTCCCCCGCCGTGATATTGCTGGAATATTGCTAAAAGCGGCGTAAAACCATACTCACTCACTCACTCACTCAAAGAAATAAACTTTTAATTCCTGACCAATTTAAGCATGAGTGAGTGAGTTGGGGTTTAAAGTTGCTTTAAACAGTATTCCGGTAATATCACGGTTTGTCACCTTTATGTGGGAGGGAAACCCGAAGTGATGCAGGTCTCAGGAAAATCCTAAGAACACGGGTAAGGTGCTTACAAACCTAGACACCAGATTCGAACCCTAACTCATAGGTTTCCGGCGTGCCCAAGGGGCGCAAATCTGCATAGCGAATTGTGGGGCATATACGACTGGCCCAACCGTGCCCCAATTTTAGCATGAGGGCAACGCCGGTTAAGCTGATAATGTAATTTGTACGCATGTATGTAAATCATAACAAACAAGACCCGTGAAGAACCGGGTTAGAATAGGTCTTCTATCAGCAACCCATGCTTGCCGTAAGGGCGACTAACGGGATCGGGTGGTCAGGCTCGCTGACTTGGTTGATGCATGACATCGTATCCTAATTGCGTGGGCTCGGCGTTAAACAATAAACAAAAAACAAAACAAACACAACAAACAGCGAGTATATAGGTAGCACATGTATGAATATGTCCATAATTTGACTGTGCACTCTTGCGTGTTTGATAGACCAAATAGGTGAGATCTTTGTAACATAATGCCGCTATGTACAGGTTAATCGTTCACTGGATATTGTGACACATGTTGTCTTGTGGTCGGTAGGGTCAGTGTTTCATGGCCGTTGACCCCCGTGCCTTTGCTCCTGGGTTCGAGGACAGGATGAGTCAGCTGATTGGCCACTGCAGAGGTCTACAGCCGGTACGTATGCTGCGTCATTCGCGACCAACTCGTGTTATTCCGGGACAAGCCGAATAGCGACTCGTGCCCCGCTCATGGCCATTTTTTTTCGACCGGGTTCCGTCTCAGCGCAAACGGGCATACCTAAAACAATTGTCAACTCGTTGCGTAATGGTTCACTTACATTTCCCCATATATTATATATATTTCAGATGCAATTTAAAGCACATCGGGACATGCGGAACTATGCAGTATGATTGAATACATTTAACTGTGTCTTTGGTATATTTTTAGATGCAAGACATATATAAAATAAAAAAATACTTCTTAGGGATTCTTTGACGAAGAACTTGAAATCATACGCGCATTCTGATTGGTTTGTCGTATTTTCGCACATACCTTTTATCGGGGGACGAGTCTTCTTGCTGGTTACGGATAAGGGCGAGTGGTGACGAAGGATGCTGTGTTAAACTGTGTGTCTATATTTTACCACATGTATGCATGTACATCTCGACCACTTTCAACACGGAGCGGTGTTGTCGTTGAATATGCATTTTGTAGAATCTTAAAATATCTGAGTGTATGTGTTCATTGCATGGCAGTCCTGCTGTGCTGCGTCAGGCAATAACTACATACTTACCAGTAGCGCGGGTAATGTTTACCCTTTTCGCGAACGACCGCCTCCGTAGTCTAGTGGTAGAGCGTCCGCCCGGAGAGCGGAAGGTCCGGGGTTTGATCCCCGACCGCGTCATACCAAAAGACGTTAAAAGGTGGTACTTGTTGTTACCCTGTCTGGCGCTCGGCATTAATGGGCTAAAACAAGGACTGGTCGGCTCGGAGTCAATATACTGTGTCTGAGTGGGGTATTCATTTTAAACTGCGGCATGGTATCTCAGTGGGCTAGCACTATAAATCGGCATCTGTCCTGGCAAGCACAAGCAGGCACACAAACACGTACACGACGTCGCTATATAAGTGCAATAATCTTGGACGCGACGTTAAACCCCATTTCACCTCACCTCACCTCACCTCACCTCACCTCACCTCACCTCACCTCACCTCACCTCACCCCACCTCACCCCGTCTCACCTCACCTCGACTCACCACCCTATCACGAACACCTGTTGTCCTGAATGATTTTCATTGGTCGATTCATGTAATTTTGTTATTTTGTTGTTTACGCCAATCTAATCTGTTTCGGCGAATAATCTAGATAATCTGGTTATTCTCTTGCATTGACAATTCATCATCTATAAAATCTATATTATAATAAAATATATCGATTGAAATGAATAAGGGAACATTTAGTTTTAGACACAGTTAAATGATAAATTATGCCATCATGGGTTCCCAGCCTTGTTTACGCGTTGGAAACAATGCACACAAACGCATCTCAACATTTGATTCTGATGTGTGTTGAATTTGTATGCGCGCTATTTCAAATGTCCTCACAGTAAGACCTGTGAAGATTCCGGGGTAGAATAGGTCTTCAGCAACCCATGCTTGCGGTAAAAGGTCACTATGCTTGTCGTAAAAGGCGACTAACGGGATCGGGTGGTCAGACTCGCTGACTTGGTTGATGCATGTCATCGATCACAATTGCGTGGATCGATGCTCATGATATCAATCACTGGACTGTCTGGTCCAGACTCGATTATTTACAGACCGCCGTCATGTAGCTGGAATACTGCTGAGTGCGGCGTTAAACAACAAACCAACCAACCAACCAACCTCCCAGTAAAGCTTATTTTACTCTACTTTCATTTCCCCTTATTCGTTTCCATCAGTATAAATGTGATGTTTAAAAGGTAGATGAATGTTTTGCAATTTGCTGTGCTGGGCTACCTACCCACCACCCTACATCACCACCCTACAGCATCAGGAAACGAGGTTACCATAGTAACTTTAACATTGTCAGAATATAATTATGACGTCTCGAACGTTACTGATCCCGTTATGGTGCAGAGTATATTCCAACACAAATTGTTGGCAGGCTGATGGAAAGACGGAGGTTCTGATAGCAGGTGACCCAGAGAGAAACCACACGGCGATGTGTGACAGACGAGGGGGAATACCTTACCATGAAAACCAGATCCATTTCGCTGTAAGTCAGTGTGTTTGGTGTTACTGCGTTAAACAGTATTCAGTTAAATCACGACGTGACGGCTTGATGTGGGGGGAAAGCCCAAAGTCATGTAGGTCTTCGACCGCCTCCGTGGTCTAGTGGAAGAGCGTCCGCCCGGAGAGCGGAAGGTCCGAGTTCGATCCCCGGCTGTGTCATATCAAAACATCGTACTTGTTGTAACCCTGTCCGGCGCTCGGCATTAGGGGCTAAAAGAAGGACTGCTCGGCTCGGAAACAAACACACGATTACACAACACACACACACACACACACACACACACACACACACACACACACACACACACACACACACACACACACACACACCACACACGGTATTATTGGTCGGTAATATTCATTGTAATTAAATGAGTATAGGTTATACTGTTTTGAGATCATATCTTTATTCGACGTCACAAATGATGAAGATCTGGGACACACAACCGCAAACCTTACTATATACTACAGATGATTCTATAATGTAAATGCACATAATCCTCCAGTAATCGCATTGCCCTTTATATTGCATAATATGGTCAGTGTATTAATTAGCAATACACTCAATGAAGGGCAATTCTAGAAAGCTTGGAAAAACGCCGTATATGAGATTCTTTTCCTTTCAGGACGATATTGCACAGGAATACGGAGTCGAACCAATGAAGAGAAGCGAAGGTTCTGCACCTCAGGATAAAATACATTGATGAAGACAGTAAAGTGATGTGCTCAGAAGAGATCTGCTGACATATTTAGAGAACAACCAGTAATCTTCGACGAACTGCGGATTGTGTATCCCGCGTGGATGAATAGTGTTAACCCCGAGTCTTTTCCGAAAGACTTACAGCATTCATTCAGAGTGAGTGAGTATTGTTTTACGCCACTTTTAGAAAATTTTTCCAGCAATATCACGGCGGGGGACACCAGAAATGGGCTTCACACATTGTACCCATGTCGGGAATCGAACCCGGGTCTTCGGCGTGACGATCGAACGCTTTAACCACTAGGCTACCCGACCGCCCCGCATTCATTCAGAACGGACATATACTCTGTAATTCCGAGGTTCGAATAGGTTTTTCTAATTTACTCACTGACATTTAGAGAGAAAAAACTCGTTTGAAATGACACAATATCAGCCCAACAGAGAAACTTCACTGAAGGCAGTCAATTGCGAAAAGACCGATGACAATATGACCGCATTTGTACAGGTCATCGCTATTACGTCAAATTGTTCATGGCGCCACAAACGATTTTATATGACGTCGTTCCAACATTAGGACAACTGAGCTGATGTCTCTAATTCATAAAAATAAAACACATTTTTTACTTTTTCTCACGAAAAAAATAATATTGTGTGTAATATAAATAATAACTCGCAACTTGGAATTATCGATTATCACAAATGTAATAACTTAGGGCAGATCATTCGTAATTTTTCGTCGCCCTTTGGTTCTTGTCTAAGTATCTGACGTGTAAACGGTTCACAAAAGACACATGTTCACAGAAATGATCAAATAAACATGACTGAATTCTTTCTTGTGTGAATTATTTTTTCTAAACTAAAACAAGGTTGAACAAGGACTTTCAAAATACATCAGTTACAGGGAGGTGCATGTCCGTGTTATCCCTTGAAGTTGGACTAGTTTTATATATTAACACTTTTTTTTCAAGTGAACAATTGACTTGCCTTTGCATGTGTTTTGGACGGGTGCCACAAGTGGGGCAGGATACGCTTACCTTTTCACGAACACCTGGTATCACCACTATTTGATAGTAATTCATAAACACATGCTCATAGTATAGTCGGAATTGTACAACCGACTCTGCTTTATCTGAGTGAGTGAGTGAGTGAGTTGGGTTTAACACCGCTTTTAACAGTATTCCAGTTATATCACGGCGTGTCAGCTTAATGTGGGAGGAAAGCCCGAAGTGATGCAGGTCTCAGACGTTTAACACTTCGGTGAAACCCACGAGCACGGGTATGGTGCTGACAAACCTAGAAACATAATCGGGCCGAACCGGGATTCGAACCCACAATCATAGGTTTCTCGCGTGCCCAAGGGACGCGATTCTGCACAGCGAATCGCGGCGCCTTAGACGCCCCCCTTTATCTGAGATTTCCCGCGGCTGTGGAAATGGTTTTGTCACTTTTATTATAATCTTTAAACTAAAAAAAATATGTCTGTGAACAAGGATCTACAAATTACGAAGGCAACAGGGAAATGCATTTATGTGTTATTCTTTATCATCTTGAAATCTCCTTTCTAAAAAAATATTATTGAAAATTGTACGAGGACATAACCAAAGTTTGCTGACCTAGGGTCACCGGTTGTATCTAATCTGACACGTGACGTCACAATGACACGTGACATGACGTTGACAGAAATTAGCAAGGTTAAAGTTCAAATAATTTTATTGGTATTTTGTTAAATTACGTGAATATATTTTGAGAAGAAATAGTATCCTGAATAATTTAAGTTTTATGGATTTAATACGGACTCTAAATACACCGGTACGAATGACAGGGACGCGTGACGCGTGACGCGTGACGCGTGACATGAGCGGTGATACGAGTCCTTTACACCTGCAGGAGCGTGTCGATAAGATTTTAATCTATTTCGCGGGATACCTTGATTTATTCTGAAAAGGGAAATAAGCATGTATTATGTTTTTTTGCTTTGCCGTTAGTGTTTTAAAGTTGTTATTTTCAAACAAATAAGACTCACATACCATTGTGTGTTATAGTTATGAAGTGGACACAGTGCGGTCAAAGTAACAATAAAAAAAGGAAACATTTTCAAACGCCAAAAATAATTTGACAAAAAATAATGTTTTCAAATTTCGCATTCTTCTTTGGATAATAGGATGCGCGGTGGGTTTTTTGGCATTTTTGTCATACTATCCTTAATGTCGAACATGTGTGGATATATAGAAGGTGGTCGTATCTGTATGTGTTGTAAGATAATCACTGATCTGGAGGAAGCAATTTAATTAAATGACTTTCCTACTGTTTGCAAGTTCTTTGGTTAAGCTTAATGTCACGTCTGACACCAACACGAAGATGTTCAATATTTGGGGGGGCGATCGGGTAGCCTAGTGGTTAAAGCGTTCGCTCGTCACGCCGAAGACCCGGGTTCGATTCCCGACATGGGTACAATGTGTGAAGCCCATTTCTGGTGTCACCCGCCGTGATATTGCTGGAATATTGCTAAAATAGCGTAAAACAATACTCACTCACTCACTCAATATTTGGGGGAGAGAGTATATTATGGGTTGTATGTCGTGATTCGGGTTGTAAAAATACCTGAAATTACTTAGATTTCCTTAACCTGATTCAGAATAAATAATTGGAAGCAAATCAAATATCATTTTGTTGCTCTCAGTAACTGTGAATTGAAAATGTCAACTGCTTGAATGTATTCAGACAATACTGATAACATGAATACTCTGTACTAATGATACCATGTGTCACACGAGAAGCTGACAACCTCATAATTTATTGTCCGAAATTTCCTTTATAAGGAGAAAACTTTCTCATCTAGTCAAATGAAATGAACCTATGAACGGAACGGCTTTGCCCTTTTTATCCTGAGCCACTAGGAATCGCTGATGCGAGCTCTAAACACCAAGTAATGTTATCGCTGCAAGGAAATGTCACCCACGCCCTCTAGCGTCAAGTGTCGTAATTTGAAATGAAGACACTTTTACGACTTTAGCGACGTGTTTACGAGAGGGTAGATAATGTGCTGATTGTTAATTTTTTGACATTTACCCATTTTTGTCTATTTAAAGTGCTGCCTTTCACTGAAAGAGCAAGGGCTTCATTTCGCTGCTTTTTCATTATCTGACAATAAACATTAAGGGGTACATGGCCAACATGTATAGTTGATGTATTACAATTACAATGTCGTGTGAAGTTTTTCTTTGATAAATAAGCTGATTTATCAATGTGTTTTCGTGCACTGCAACATGAAATCGAACATAAACATATATTCGTTGACATACCATAATTGTAAGTGTCGTTAGATTAAATATTTCAATTAACCTTTTACACGAGGTCCACATACGCTATCATAGAGATTCAGATATCTAAACTCCAGAATCATAGTTAAGGTGAGGTGAAATGGGGTTTAACGTCGAGTTCAAGATTATTGCACTTGTATGGCGACGTGCATGCACGTGTGTGCTAGTGCGTGCGCCTGTGCTGGTCCGGACTAATGCCGATGTTATAGTGCTAGCCCACTGCGATACCATGCATCAGTTTAACATGAATACCCCGCTCAGACACAGTATACCGACTCCGATCCGACCAGTCCTTGTTTTCGGGCACCAGGCAGGTTAACAACAAGTACCATCTTTTAACGTTTTTTCGTAAGATGCGGTGGGGGATCGAATCCCCGGCCTTTCGGTCTCCGGGCAGACGCATACCACAAGACCAAGGGGCGGTTCACGCAATATCTATAAATGACGTACGACGCAGGTCTATAATTAAGCCGTTTCTGTATGACTTAATGTTGAATATTTCAGGAGGTGGGGGTGGGGCATTCAATACTCGAGTGCAGACAGTCCTTCTTTACCAGCATTTTCTTCTTTTCTAATTATGCAACCCATGCTTGTCGTAAGAGGCGACTAACGGGATCGGGTGGTCAGGCTCGCTGACTTTGGTAGTGCATGTCATCGTATCCCAACTGAATAGATCAATGCCCATGATGTTAGACTCGAATAGCTAAAGGCCGCGTGTGAGGCGTTCAACAACAAACAAACACACAAACAACAATTTGTAAATCACAAAGATGGCTATCGCTGCTAATCTCGGGCATACACCACAATGTCATCTGAATGAAAGTTGTAACTCATTATAGCAGTAGCTCATCTGATTCTTTGGCATATGCCAATACAACAGTAGGTCATGTGATTGTATGGCATATCTCCATACAGCAGTAGGTCATGTGATTGTACGGCATATCTCCATACAGCAGTAGGTCATGTGATTGTACGGCATATCTCCATACAACAGTAGGTCATGTGATTGTACGGCATATCCCCATACAACAGTAGGTCATCTGATTGCATACAACAGTAGGTCAACTGATTGTATGCTGTAAGTCAGTACAACAGTAGGTCATCTGATTGTATGGCATATCTTCAAACGCCAGTAGGTCATCTGAGTGTATGGCATATCTGCAGACAACAATAGGCCCCTCTGATTGTATGGCATATCTCCAAACAACAGTAGGTCATCTGAGTGTATGGCATATCTCCAGACAACAGTAGGTCATCTGAATCTATGCCATATCCCCATACAACAATATGTCATCTGATTCTATGCCATATCCCCATACAACAATATGTCATCTGATTCTATGCCATATCCCCATACAACAGTAGGTCATCTGATTCTATGCCATAACCCCATACAACAGTAGGTCATCTGATTCTAAGGCATATCTCCATACAACAGTAGGTCATCTAATTCTATGCCATAACCCCATACAGCAGTAGGTCATCTGATTCTAAGGCATATCTCCATACAACAGTAGGTCATCCAATTCTATGCCATATCCCCATACAGCAGTAGGTCATCTGAGTGTATGGCATATCTCCAGACAACAGTAGGTCATCTGAATCTATGCCATATCCCCCATACAACAATATGTCATCTGATTCTATGCCATATCCCCATACAACAATATGTCATCTGATTCTATGCCATATCCCCATACAACAGTAGGTCATCTGATTCTATGCCATAACCCCATACAACAGTAGGTCATCTGATTCTAAGGCATATCTCCATACAACAGTATGTCATCTAATTCTATGCCATAACCCCATACAACAGTAGGTCATCTGATTCTAAGGCATATCTCCATACAACAGTAGGTCATCTGATCCTATGCCATATCCCCATACAACAGTAGGTCATCTGATTCTATGCCATATCCACATACAACAGTAGGTCATCTGATTCTATGCCATATCCTCATACAACAGTAGGTCATCTGATTCTATACCATATCCCCATACAACAATAGGTCATCTGATTCTATGCCATATCCTCATACAACAGTAGGTCATCTAATTCTATGCCATATCCTCATACAACAGTAGGTCATCTGATCCTATGCCATATCCCCATACAACAGTAGGTCATCTGATTCTATGCCATATCCCCATACAACAGTAGATCATCTGATTCTATGCCATATCCTCATACAACCGTAGGTCATCTGATTCTATGCCATATCCCCATACAACAGTAGGTCATCTGATTCTATGCCATATCCTCATACACCAGTAGGTCATCTAATTCTATGCCATATCCTCATACAACAGTAGGTCATCTGATTCTATGCCATATCCCCATACAACAGTAGGTCATCTGATTCTATACCATAACCCCATACAACAGTAGGTCATCTGATTCTAAGGCATATCTCCATACAACAGTAGGTCATCTAGTTCTATGCCATATCCCCATACAGAAGTAGGTCATCTGATTCTATGCCATATCCCCATACAATAGTAGGTCATCTGATTCTATACCATAACCCCATACAACAGTAGGTCATCTGATTCTAAGGCATATCTCCATACAACAGTAGGTCATCTAGTTCTATGCCATATCCCCATACAGAAGTAGGTCATCTGATTCTATGCCATATTCCCATACAATAGTAGGTCATCTGATTCTATGGCATATCCCCATACAACAGTAGGTCATCTGATTCTATGCCATATCCCTATACAACAGTATGTCATCTGATTCTAAG